TGGAACAAAGTTGGATAGATGGATGTATACATTGAAACGCATTGTATGGATTGCTGAATTTCTAGGTATGAGTGGATGTACGGGTCATGTGGTGGAAGAATGGTCGAGCAAATGAATAGATGGATAAATGGACACATTAAAAGGAAAACTGAGGTATCAGTTGAACACTGAATAGAATAATGATAGACGGATGGATGTACGAACGGACGAAACGATTAATGGGGTGACGATATTATTATGGTGAAACAGGTGTATTTTGGGATGAATCACTTGTCACCTGTCACCATGGCTGTGTTCGTCCGCTGGTGCCCCGCTTCTTGCTACAACAGGCCTCCGTCTTCTTCGGTCCTCGCTTTGGGGTATTGCCTCATGAAGTTGTGGACTATCGTCGGATTTTACGGGATGAATACGTGGGTATATTAATGAATCGATTGATGGACGAATGGCGGAAATGTGGACACGTCATGCTATTTGTTGTTTAAAATTAATGATGCTCCAATAACGGTCGTTTGCTTTATTGGGGTACCTGCGAGTTGGGATCTCTATCGTAAAAGATCCGTCGTCGTTGCTGGCGCTGGTTTACTAAGTAGCTGATATCTATCTATCTATCTATCTATCTATCTATCTATCTATCTATCTATCTATCTATCTATCTATCTATGTCATTTTATGGCTAAACTATCTAGCTGCCTTTTCAGTGGGGAGTTATTTAGATTTGGTCTCCCTTTTAGATACCTGGCTAAGGAGAAAACAAAACAAAGCAAGGAGCAAAATTTTGACTCCGCTGATGTAAAGGCCGACGCTCGTCCACTAATAGAGTAATAGACTGACATATTATGTAATGTGACAAACAGGGAGGTATCGATGGTATAAATTCAGTTATAACGTCAGCTGGTTAGAAGGATGGACAGATAGATCGATAAATAAACGAATAGAAAGATATATTAAGTATTAGAAGGATGGATTGGTTACTTGGATATAACTTTTGGTGGAAGGACTGACGTGTATATAGAGTGCCATGGTAGTGGTATTATTATGGACTTATTTACTAGTGAGTAGGTAGATATCGATAAATGAATGTGTTGGTTAATGGATGGCAGTGAAAATGTTTTGTTGGTTATTTTCATCACGCAGATTTTAAGAAAAGGATGTTGACCAATAAAAGCGTACACAAGTATAACCGAACTGTCATTGCAGAATTTCAATGCTTTCAGGTTCCGAACACTGGCGTCTGTGATGTAGTGGATAGGCGCTTTGTCGTCGCACACAGAAGACCGTAGTTCCATTCTCATTTGGGGATAATTTTGATCGACTATTTCGATCTTTGTGCGTAATTCTTGTATTCCTCATACTTCCGGGCTGATCCCGCCTTCTAAACGATCTGCAGTGTGTCGACTAGGTCGTAAAAACACCTTCTTTTAAAAAAGGTGTTGAGAACTTCACTGTGTGTTATATACAATGAACGCAGTGGATGGCTAGACTGTGTGCCCAGCTGGCATTTGGCTTGCTCACGAGATGGGAAGTTTCCTCTATCTGACTGTCCTGCTCTCTTTCTCTCTCTCTCTCTCTCTCTCTCTCTCTCTCTCTCTCTCTCTCTCTCTCTCTCTCTCTCTCTCTCTCTAGAGTCCGCGTACGGCCGGGAACACACACACACACACACACACACACACACACACACACACACACACACACACACACACACACACACACACACACACTTGCTTGATCTCCGGGCCTAGCAAAATAGCAATTTACTAAATTCTAAATACTCTTGGTCTCTTCTGAATGTGATGCCAGCCTTTTGGAGTCTTGAGTACGGCCATTAATTGAGCTTTATGCCTAATATAATAATGCTTTTTGTCTCAGCAGAAGGGTCTGTAGGTACACACTGTCCTAATTATTTTTACCTGCGAGGATGCTTCTGTTCTATAGTATGCTGTGCTTAGCCTCTATGCACCAGAAACTGTTTGTGGTTTTTATAAGTACAGAAAAACGCATTTACTCAGTGATTGTAATCAGTCCTGTAAAAAAACAAGACTTGTTAGAGGAAATATGGACCTGTTCTTGTGTTCTGTGAGGTTTTCACTATTTCTTTTTAGTCCAAAAGGGATTTGGTTGGTACAGCGTGGACACCTCTAAGGGTTGATAGGTGTAACGCTGTGATTCGTTGACCATTTTTACTTCTTTTACTATTTTCTGCATTATCCTATCCAGATGAATTGCTTGTGTCCTGTGTGTTTGCGTGCGTGCGTGCGTGCGTGCGTGTGCGTGTGTGTGTGTGTGTGTGTGTGTGTGTGTGTGTATGTGTAGAGAGAGAGAGAGAGAGAGAGGCAGACAGACAGACAGACAGACAGACAGACAGACAGACAGACAGACAGAGAGTCTCTTACCTGACTTCCGCCTAGCGTTGCCTCACTAATTCTTTCTTTCTTTCTGCCTGTTATTGTTCCTGCTTTCTGGGTTCATCTCCTCCCTCCTTATCTCCTTCATCGCGCCATTTATTTTACTCCAGATTCTGTCCGTATTACTTTTTCACAACCCGTTTAAAGTTCAGCATCACTCTTTACAACTCATTTTAGTTTTTTCCCGTATGCAACTGAAAAGTGCGATGAAAATTCTTGCTATAACATGCCCAACCGTGACGATGATAATTCCATTTAAAATCATAAATCTAAAAACAGAACTAAATGAACAAATCCGCTTATTGGCCCTTTTTCCAACCTTATAGCGACACGGCAATGCAATCCAAGGTCATTTTCGTGACAAAAGAAAGTGACTTCGCCAAATAAATGGGAGCCGGTTTGATATTGCGACCTTGCTTTTTTCGCGCGGCATAGTTTTCTTTTCATGCTGGCTTTTTATAAGTGGCCCACGAATGATTCATTCGCTGTCCCTATTTTTATCCGCATGCTGTAATCAAATGCATTACAGCGTGAGCCTTGCATTGATGTTTCGACTCTTTACTGCTTTAGTTGGGAGGACATTCGATTAAGTTGGGTTGCCTGCTGAGTTGCTGAACGGTCTGATCCAATTCGTTGTGCTTCTCGGCTCTGAACTTTCCGTCTTTTGCACTTTTGTTCCGTGCAGACCTTCCCACGGTTGTGTGTCTGCCTGCCTGCCTGCATGCATGGACTACTTTTCTGTCTGTCTGCCTGTCTGTCTGCCTATCTGTCTGTCTGTCTGTCTCTCTGTCTTTTTGTCAGTGTGTTTATGTTTATCTGTGTATGTTTGTCCCCCCTCCCCATCTCACTCTCTCTCTATCTCTCTCTCCTTCTCTCTCTTTTTTCACTCTCTCTCTCATTCTGTCTCACTCTCTTTCTCACTTGTTCTCATTCGCTCTCTCGCTTTCTCTCCTCGTTCGCTCTTTTGCTCTCTCTCTATCTCTCTGCCCCCTCTCTCTCTCCCTCCCTCTCCCTGTCTCTCTCTCTCTCTTTCTCTCTCTCTCTCTCTCTTTCTCTCTCTCTCTCTCTCTGTGTCTCTCTCCCTTAGAAGCGTTGGCCTTGTCCTCTTTTGTCTGATCTGTTGCAAGAACTTTAATATATTACATTGCCCTGCTTTACACTTGGTCTCAAGCTGTCTTGCTTCACTTCAATAAAAAACAGACAAAGGCCACGCATGTAGTTGAAATCACAATCCATTCTATTTTCCCATAATTGTTTGTTACTTTTTTGTACTGTCGTTCGCTGTTGTGATTCTTTTTTTTTTAGTCCACCTGACCTTTGAAAAATCCTTTTTTACTCTCTCTCTCTCTCTCTCTCTCTCTCTCTCTCTCCCT